ATAATACACACACATATATATATATATATATATATATATATATAAAAGTATATCGGTATTACATACGTTTTTGAAGATATTTTTGATATCTATGCATGCCATTGTGATAAATCGTTTAATACTGCGTTCTAGCTATCATGAAATTCCTATTTTCTGACAGAAGTTGAGTTTTTTACTGAATTCAGAAAAGAGATAAATCTGGACAATTATTGTAATATAATCATACGAATACCGCATATATAACACTGTCGCTTAAAAACAATTTGTCTTCCTATTAAAAGTAGATTAAAAGATAGATTGTAGATTCAAATTATAATATTATAATGAGAGAAAAATTGACCCAATTACGTTAATATATGTATGTAAAATTAATGAATGTATATGATCATAAACAAGTTTAATAAATAATTTATTAATTTTAGTTAAAATGTTAGAAAATATCAATTTGCCTATAATTATATTGTTTTTATTGATTTGTTATTTGTAAAACACTTTGATGATATATTAATGATATATTAATGATTTCATTTGGGAGAAAAACACATTTTCCTTAAATTATTTAGCGTGTTCAAAGGAATAAAATATTTAAAAAAATCTACTGAATATAATCAATTCAATATGCTTTGTCAATAAATATTTTTAATTTTTCATATATATTCGCAAATATCTATATTTCCACATTTAGTTTTGTATGTAATAACACCAAGGCATAAAAATTTTGATAAATAATTTAGAAAACATAAATATATATATCTATAAAATTAAATATCTACATTTACTTATAACTAAACAAATTATTTATCTTCTTTTATTAAATAAATTTTGTATTATACACCAAAATAATAATAATCTCGTATAAGTAATACTCATACTAATTTCCAAGTTTAACATTCAACAAAAGATGCGGTCGTTTTAAAAGATGAAGCATTACGATAATAAGTGTGGTTACCATAGCTAGTTCCAAGTTTCTCATTCAGCCTTTCTGAAATGAATGATTTGCTGGGAAAGTTCTCTTAATCCCTAAAGCCAAGCGGAAAAGTCGAAAAACCGAATACATCGTCTTGAAAAGCAACGCCATTTAATTGTATCTTGTACGAAAAATAAAAGAAATGCATTTAATATTAAACAAAATGCGGTTCACCGCTTCAACATTGATGTCTACAAATAATGAAATATCAATGTACATACTTATGTGATTTTCTTACGGCTTTTGTACTGTATTATATTAATAAGACTATATAAGTAGCCTTTATACAAAGGTCAATGGCGTATACTATTTAATCGATATCATTAAAGCGCAGTAATACATAAAAAAAATATGCATAATTAATAAATATTTCATTATATAACTTCATATTTTTAAATACCAAATAAACAAAACATCAATTTTACCATGTATTAAAAAAAACTGGTTACGAGTTTATAATCAGGAATACAAAAAAATTGACTTGAAATATCGTCAAGTATATATTCGATTTTCATGAAAATCACTAAAATTTCAATATATTGCGAAGGGGATTAATGACGATTACACGCAAAATTATCGCACAACGGCGTTATAACATATTCATCCTGTGTACGACAGAACGCAGCAGAGCGGAATTATCGGCAAGGCGGAACAATGGAAACCACAAATCCGACTCGCACACTTGTATATTAATGCGAATGAATTATCCGTGGAGCTCTATTTATAAAAGCATCTATCTCACTCTCTCACCGTTTCTCCTCTTTCTTTCAGATGATGAGACATTTAAAACTCCGTCACATGAACGGATCCAACCGCATCGCGGATCGAGCCTCAAGTATCGAACGAGGAAATACCCCTCCTTTCCCCCCCCCCTTCCCCGGTCTCTCTATGTTTCTCTCTGGTTGAGCAGAAGTTAAGCTTCGCAATTCTGCTTCTGCATTGAAAAAGCCGCGTAGATTCACGAGATATGCGAATTCTCGCTTTCGACCGAAAAGGATATATCTAATATTTATCTGTCATGCAGCTAAAAATGTATGCATACGCAATGTATGTGTTAACACTAATCGCATTCCTTTCTCAATTTTCACACAAGACTGCATTAAAAGTGCAACAAACGTTTCATTCTGTCTACGTTGCCACATACAACACTTTCATTAATTGCGACGAATGCATAAATTGACACCGCGTATGCATACGAATTTTCTTTGATGAGAAAACCTCTAAAAGAAATACGATTTTTAAAAACGATCCGAAAATATGTTTCTATAAATGGCAAAAAATTCATAACATACATTGAAAGTGTTTAATTATATTGAAAGTGTTTAATTATATAAATTCATAACATACATTGAAAGTGTTTAATTATATTTAAATGTATAGTTATATATTCTATGTAATAAACATATATTTTTATTTTATGGTAAATTTAAACTTTCACTTTTTTTAAACAAGATAGAGAAAAGAGAGTTAAAAAACTCAAGAGATTTTTACTCTATCATATAGTTTTCATTGTGAAAACTATACTATATTCGATTAACTCTAAATTTTAATTGCTTTTTTATTTCTTTTTCGATCGCAGAACCGACCAGAAATAAAGAGAGAGAGAGCTCCGGTTAATCATGGTCGTCGCTAAGCCACGTTAACGAAACAACCGACAAACCACGATATAAATATTCCATGACGTGCAACAAATGCAACGTGACCCAGTACAACGGTTATCCATGTCACGCTAATTCACAAGATTACTTAGAACCGGCGATAATTATACAAGATTGGGTAGTAACCAGTTGAAAAGTTAAAAGTCAACTAATAAAATTAAAAAGTTAATAACTTTTAATTTAAACTTAACTAATTTTAAATTAATTTACAACTTTAACTAGTCATTTTTAAAACACGAACATATTGACATAACATTTAATTCATATTTAACATATTAACTTATTTTTTCCTAAGTTAAAAATTTGTAAAAGAAAAATTGTAAAAGAGAAAATATAATACGCATTCCAATATAAAAAAATAATACTTCTTTACTTATTTCACAAATTTGATTTATAAACGAAATATTAAATTTCTTTGATGATCCATATTGTAATTTTTTGTTATTTAAAATATTTTAATTTTAAAAAATTATAACATTTTAATTTAATATAAATAATACTTTTTTAAAATTAACTTTTAATTTAAATTAAGTTAATTTAACTTTAATGCAACTTTTAACTGAATCATTTTTTTATTCATGTAACTTTTAATGTAACTAAATTAATTCTATGAGCCATTAACTTTACTTAATTTTATGAAAAAATAATATTAACTTACCTAATCCTGTAATTATATGTGTATAAAATAAATCGCGCTGAGAATAATGAGAATAACGAGAATAACGAGAATAACGAGAATAACGAGAATAACGAGAAGGAACGCTTCAATCTCGTATACCTGAATGATTGCACTTCTTATTATTCGGATGGGCTTGGCAGTTAAAATGACCCGAAGTATGCGACTGCCGATACTGTTGTCGTTGTTGTTGTTGCTGTTGTTGATTGATCGGCGACTTGAGGACGCTCAGAACAAGGTCCTCGCGGGAAGATACGATCCGTGTGATCTGCCGGCTCTGCCGGAAGAGAGTCTCTTGCTCGCCGCGATTCATTCTACAGCCTAGACGACGACGTTGGAGATAAAATCCTGGATACCACTCGCGTCTCCCCCGTCCTGGACCGCTACCTAGCATAACGGCGTGCAACATCCCGGCTCAAACTTTCCGGTTACAATCGATGAACGGCTCTTCATTTGCCGGACAATCGTCCGATCGCGCAGCTCGTCCATGGTCTCCGATCACCGAAATTCACGACGTTTACACGATCGTCCTAAGATGCGAAATCGTGTGAAATATCGAAAGATTAACAGACCGATCTTCGCGACACGTCGTACACCTCTACGTATCGTTAGAATTCATCTTGGTTGTGACAATGATAGAATTTATTTTCCGCTTTCCATCGTATCGGGAACTTCATTGCGCTCGAAAGAAAAAGAAAGAGGTATTCAATTTGTCGTGATTCTATCACCTCTTTTCTCGCGGGAGATTATTTCCCCGCACGGTATAAATATTGCCAATAAGATCATTCGATCTGGTCGTTATCGCCGAAATTGTTGATCTCGTTTAAAACGTAACGCAACGTATACGCTTCTATGTCTATCATCGTATGTCAATTCTCGTTTTCGGGAATGCTCGTTAAAGTCAATATTCCGAACGATTCAGACCAACTTCCTATCAATCAACGGAACACTGAATTGTCTTCGAAATCATCTTTCCCACGTTGCTCTTCACGTTTTTCTCTGTTTTTTTTTTCTCCACGAGTTTTTCTCTTCTTTTCCACACTCGTATTCGCGCTCGTGTATTTTAATTGACGAAATGTCCCGATCTCTTTTGCAAACCTCTTATATCGCCGCTTATGCTTCCCTCATTAATTCCGCTCAATTTCATCAAAGCAAACTTTTGCAACAAAATCTCGTATTTGCTGAAGCTGTTGCTTTCGAGAAACGTGAAACGATCACGAATGTTAGATGCGGGTATTCAACGATCAGGCCATGCATAATGTCCGCTGTGTCTATCGATGTGTCTATCAAAAATTTCCAACCGATTCGAAGAGAAAAATTCGGATGTCCCGGATGTCGCAGGCGCGAGGAAAAGCAGCAGCGGAGAAAGAGAGAAAAAGAAAGACTGAAAGTTAGGAAGAGAGATAAATCGGAGGATGAAATATCGGCGTTCTGGTCTCTGGAAGATGGATGTCGACCGTCAGCAAACCGTTGGGACCTCACAATCGATCTTACCTACGGAAATCCTTCCCCGAGTATTTATTCGATAATACGATAATGAAATTCGCGATTTCTTCGAAGCTCTCTATGAAGAACGTCTCTCTCTCTCTC